ACGTGTCAGGCCAGGCGGGCTGCACTGGGGTCATCTGGGAATGTGTTGGTTTGCTGCAGTCCAGACTCCAGCTTTGCCTGTGTGGCTTGGGGGCAGGACTAGGATAGGCAATTTGGACTTCTCTCCATCGCCACGAAGATTTTCAATTTTCTTCAAGCAACTCTGCTTCTATTCAATATCCTTCTGAAATCTAAATCTGGCACCTAACCTGAATTGACTGCATTTCCTCTGATGACAGAGCTGCCCTGGGCTTACTGGACAAAGCAACGACATGTGCCCTTCGGATTCACTGCACAGGAACTCTGATGAGAGACTGGACCACCAGCCAGAGCCCAAGGCTCACGTGGGGCAAAGGAAACACCAGATCCCTCCACCATCCTCACTCTGACTCATCAGGGGGTGCCGTACTGGGGAAAAGTACCTTGGTATTGAGGAATCTTGGCTCTGTCCTTCACTGGCTGTGTCATCCTGCCTAAGTCACACAGTATCTCTATTTCTTACCTTTCTTGGCTCAAAACTGAGAGAAACAAATAACTTCCTCAAAAGGTGACAGAAAGTCAAAAGTCATGTACAGAGTTACATGAGAATTCTAGCAAGAAATCTGTCTGTCCCCAGGACCATTTTCCTAATGCTAACACAAAAGCACCATGCCACCATTTTTAAAAATATTTTAACACTATTTTCTTCTGTATAATGTTTTTAGATTTTCTAAATTTTCTACAGTAAATATGAAAGAACTTTATTCTACAAAATAAAGGAATATAAACCATATTCATGTTATAAAATCGACATTCAAAGAAAATATAGTGAAACGTGCTGGTCCCTAACCTGGCCAACTGCTACACTTCCAAGCTCCACCGAAGGATCTGGTCCCCTTCAGTCAGGAGAGTGAAGGACCAGAGCAGCCTCAAGATGGCAGAGACAGATGGCTTCCTCACACTCAGTCTCCCCAGCTAAGTCTTTCCAGCTGCTTCCTCTCACTACATCCACCCAAGCCAATCCAGCCTTTACAGTGTGGAGGTTATGTCCTCTGTGGCTATCATTTACCTCCTACAGCTAGCTCCCATCCAGCAAACCTTAGGTGCCTACCTTAGACACAAGGTGCTGTGGCAGATGCTGAAGGATGAAGGTGGTATAAAAAGTCCAAAATATGGATCAAGCCCTTAAAAAAACCTACAGTCCTGGATTCAAAGGATAAACCCATGGAGGCACAAGAGTATAAGACATGAGTGCAAAGGGTCACCGACAACTAAGCCCCAAGCAACCGTATGGCCTGGCACAATCTCCCCACCCCCAGGTGGTGACTGTGAGCCAAGCTTTAAAGGATAGATAAATGCAGAAAGGGGGCAAGGAGAGCAAACCAGGACAACCAGAACTTCTCGAAGACTGGGGTGGAAATGTAGAGGCTTCAATCCTAAGGCAAATGCAGGATATTTCAGCAAGTAGATCAGTCCAGCTCCAGGAGGCAGAGGGCACTGGGCAAGGGTGGGGACCTGGGAGATGCCGGTTGAGGCTGGCTGGGGCAGGCCCTGACTGTCAGCCACCAAGCTGGACCATGATTCCTTAGGAAACAGGGAGCCCCTGGAAGGTCTGGGGCCCTTTGGAAGAGATGCTTTCCACTCAGAGAACTGGGGCCACGCCTGCTGGTGAGAGACAGGCAATCAGTTAAGGCGTACTGCCGCAATAGTCAGGGGTCAGCAGTGGGACCTAACGGAAAGATTGGACAAGCAGATGCACGAGACAGTATGGAGGGACAAACCTAACCCATTTGTGTGTGCTTTCTCCTCCATACCAGCAGCTCCACTTTCCCTCAAAGTGTCTTTTTCAGCCTGTATTAAGAAAAACAAAACAACAACTGTTTTTCAAAAGGCAGGATTCAGGACCTTCGCACAGAGAGTTTTAGCAGAGAGGCTGGTTCTGAGGAAGTCTGAGTCATCCCTTGCCCCCCTAGCCCAGGGGCCTGCTCTCAGGACACCCAAGGAACTCTGCTTCAGAAGTGAGAAAGCACTAGGGACGGGTGTGCTCACAGCCAGGGGGAGGTGGGCCCTCCACAAGTCCCTCCCACTGCAACCTCTTAAGAGGCCACAGGAAAGGGCTGAGAAATCTGAGCAGCTCCCACTTTGTACCTGAGGGGTTGGACCCAAGTGGCCTTGTTCCTACTGTATGCCCAGTGCCCAGCTCTCACAGGACCCCCATTAATTCCTGAGGAAGAAAGAACGCCAAGGTCAAGGTTTCCTTCTCCTCCTTCAGTAGCAATGGATGGAGACAGGCTGCAGAGCAAGAGGGCATAAGAATCCAGGTCCCATCGCCCAGGCTCTGGGAGCCCTCTCCCTCCGCCACCCTCCCGCTGCAGCAGGTGGCCCAGCAGGCCTGGTGCATCGTGGGACACGCATCTCCCAAAACAAGCACAGGCAAAGACAAGCACTCAGGGTGGGGTGGGGAGGGGAAGGGTCCTCTCCATTTCGACTTTCCCTGCCCTCTTCCTCCAGGCTTAACGTCACTACAAATCACACTCAGCAGCCAGGAGGATAACACCTGCCTAGGTGCAGACTGAATTCCTGGCTAACCCTGGACAAGGTCTCAACCCAGCCTTCCTCCAGCTCCTCCTCAGAGGCTGCAAGTCAAGGAAACAGCCTTCCCACCCCACAGCGTCCAACCCAACCAGTCCTGAGTGCTGGCCACCCCCACGCCCCCAGGGAACTGCTCACCTGGCAGAAGAGCAAGCACAGAAAGAAGCCAGACCCCCAGCCCTTCTGAAGCAAGCTCTTGACTTCTCAGAAGTCCCAACCACCTGGCGTAGGCAGTAGAGTAGAGGGCAGTGGGCCACAGTCCAGGCCACAAGCTTGTCAGAGATGCAGTCCTGGGCCCCCACCCCAGATCTACTGAATCCGAGACTCTGGGGGTGGGGCCTCGAGATCTGTGTCTTGACAGGCCCTCCATGTGACTCTGATGCACGCCAAAGAGTGAAACAGGCTGATGCAGCAGCTAGGAGCCTCAATTCTGGAAGCAGACTGTCCAGGTTCAGTCCCAGCTCTCCCACCCCCTAGGTGAGGGACTGGGAGCAAGTGACTTCGGGGGAAGCATCAGCACCTATCTCCGAGGGCGGCCGTAAAAACTATACCAGTCCCTGCGTGTGTGTGGCACTTAGTAAATACCATTTAGAATTTTATTATTCCTATTTGGGGCATTGGGGGTCATGGCTAAATGGTATTTAGTTTCCCAAGTGAAATTATTACTAAAATGACTTGTGTCCCGGAGCACAGTGAGGGAACCCAGACTATCTTGTACTCTCTCTTTTCAGTCCTATGGGTATATCTACAGCAGGTATCTGTGGAGAATAAGGCCCACCCCATAAGCTTCTAATTCCTCTAGAAACCAACTGTGGGCTTTTGTTTCATTCTGTGCCTTGGTTTCTTGACACTCGGGAGAAGAGCTTCCTCATGACCTCACAGGCTACACCCAAAGCCAGGCCACACTGTATGCGAGGAGTCAGTGGGCCTGCAGGTTCCCACTACAGGTACAAGTTCAAGACATCCCCTGGATACTTGTTGAATGACATCAAGAAGACCAAGGGGCCCTTTCAGAGGGTACTCAGAGATCTGACCACATCCCACCCAGAAGGGATCAGTGGACAGCAGGAACAGAACAGTCTGGTGCCATCCGGCTCCCTGCCACCGGGCCAGTCTCTCACTTAACTGCAGGGAAGACAGCAGAGTTGGGTCTAATGTAGAACCAGACACAGGTATAGGTCTGTATTTGCAGCTCCACATATTTCTCTTGTCATCAAACAATGCTCCTTATAATTAGGAGGAGACAGTAGATATAAGAGGTCAAGTACACAGGTCACCCAGACATGAGGTTCTGACTCCAGATTCTGCCATTAACTAGTAGCAGGACCCTGGGCAACTCTGTTAACCTCTCCAAGCCTCCTTTTCTCATCTCTGATCCGGGGATGGAATGGAACTCCCTGGACTGATGTGAACACTCAAGGAGATAATGCGCTTATGCCATCTTTGCACAATGTCTGGCACACAGCAAGAATTCCACCAGTTCTTTTTACCATTATTTTATGATTATCTGTAGTTCTGGAACTACCATGAGAACAGGAGTTAGAAGCTCAGGAAGGAGGCAACAGCCTTGGATCTGCCTTGGACACCAGCCATATGGACCCTGGAGAGCTGCCTGGACTCAAGTAGGCAATACTCACTCTGACCTTGGGGACAGCAAGCGTCCAATGACCTGTCAGTCCCTGGACCAGATGTGATCAGGGCATATTAAAAGTCTCTTCTCCTGAAAGACTGAGAAGAACATTTTAGAAGGGATAGATTCTAGCAACTGTCATGGCTTGGCACACCTCGCTTTGCTACACTCTGTAACAATCTGCTTCTCCAGCCCACCACGAACTTTAACAATTGCCCTTAGGCAGCTCTCAGGGAGAAATCCGGTGTGTTTTTAATAGCAGCCTCCACCAAGACGGCAGGAAGAGAGGAGTCATTATTAGCTGTGCAACCCGCCTCAGAGAGAGATGACATATTCATCCAACTTACTACCGAAGCGCATTAGCTCCAGACCTGAGGCCTTGACTTTGCAGCCCTTTAAGCCCGCCACTGTCCCTCCCTGTCCGACCCACCAAACGCTAAGCTGTAAGAGCTATTTCCTCTAAGTCGGCCTGTGCCACCAGTACCATTCGGCGGCGCGACTAGTTTCTGCACTTGGGCTGGAACCTCCAGGTAATGAACCCTGCACGCGGGGACGGAGAGCCAGCTGTACTGACGTGCTTCCATGATAAAAGCAAACTTACAGCTGGGGCACAGAAAAGAAGCAGGTAGTTCTTTCCAGCAGCCCTGGCCTTCTGGCCAAGACGGGGCAGGGAGAGTAAGAGCAAGCGCGCGGGAGCAGGGAAGTGCCGGCTCCCCGGCAAGGTGCGCAGAGCTGCCGGAGCTTACCCGGTGCCCAGCCCGCCCTCGCCGAGCCCCAGGGGCACTGGCGCGCGTCCTTACCATTCAGTTGCCGGTAGACGATGTCCTCGAGCAGCGAAAGGCGCTTCAGGACCGCATCCTGGATGGGGCTGGCGCTGTGCGCACTGAGGTTGGCCGCCTCGGCGCGCGGCCGAATCTCGTGGAAGGCTTCTCCGCTGCGCACCGCGATGGGCCGGCACTTGGCCAGGAAGAGCACGAAGCCGGCCACTGCGATCAAGTTCAACACCAGCAGCACTTTGACTCTTCTCAGTGAAGCCATCAAACACGTCCGGCCGGCCCTCGCCCCGGACCCGCGCCCCCTCGGGCTCCGGCGAGGCGCGGGGCAGCCGAGGGCCGTGCAAGCCTCACACTCCGGACGGCCGGAGAGGATCCCAGCCGCTCCTGGTCCCACAGCGCGGATGCTCGGGCAGCGGAAATGGATGGAGGGACGAAGTGGTTAAGGGGAGAGCAAAATCCCTCGCATGGAAGTCTTCGGTCTGTAGAAGTGCTCCCGGAGATGCCTGCTCAGTCCACGGTGCGCGGCCCCTTCCAGGCGCCTCGGCTTCTTGACGAAGGGCCCGGGGCCAGGGAGGTCTCTCCTCTGCACCAGCAAGTGTTCCGCCGCTGGACCTCGGGCCGCCGGGAGCGGGGCTGCGGGCGCAGCGGACCTCTGGGGCCCACCGGCCGGCAGGCGGGGCTGCCCCGGCGCCGCGGCGAGAGCGGCGCGCAGGTGCCGGACTCAGGGTTCGCCGCCCGCGCGCGGCGTCTCGGGCCGCACAGCCACCACCCTAGTCCGCAGGAAGCCGTCGCGGGCCGTGGTCTTCAGCCAAGGACCTGTTCCCCGGGGCGTGAGCCTTTGTTCCCCTCACCAACTCGCTCCATCACTCTGGGCAAAGGGAAAGCCCGCGCCCGGCGCCCGCATCCTCGCGGCTCCGCAGTCACACTCAAGTGTCACTCTCAAACTGGGGGCAGCACTAAGGGGCGAGCGAAGGGGCAGAGCGCGACGTCCTCTCCGCCCCTCGCGCAGGGGGACACCCCACCGCGCGCCAAACTCACCAGCGCGCACGGTGTCGTGGGCTCCCGTACACGTTCCAAGTCCCAACCCCACGCAATGAGCCTTCAGGGCCTGCGGGTCACACTGGCCTCTCTCAGAGCTGGCGCGTCGGGAGGCTGGCCGGAAGGAGGAGTCGGATCTGAAAAGTCACAGCACTTCTCTACCCGCCTCCAAAAACGTCGCGGGGAGCGCGCGCGCCGGCGCACCCTCGGCTCTCCAGAACAGGCAGCGCGGCTCGTCCCGCGCCCCAAGGAGCCAAACGCCGAGTCTCCTAATTAGCAGACGCAGTGATAACGCCGCTGCGGCACCGAGAGCCCACAGAGCCCCGGGGCTGGAGAGCCCAGAGGGGACGCGCAGGTGGCGGCAGAGGGCGGGGCGCGGCCCGAGGGGACCGGTTGCTGCGCCAGCTCCTCCGCCGCCGCCCCTAGCCACCCGTCTCCGCGCGAGCCTGTCGGCCGCCGCCGCCCGCAGGCTGCCGGGCGCACAGCTCCCCGGCTCGCTGGTCGTGCGCGCGCACCCGGAAAGGGTGGAGGCGCCGGGAGAGTAGGGACCGCGAGGGATGGGGGCAGTCAAGTCATGTTGGTTGCTGCTCGCGTCGGAGAGACCCTTTGGTTCTCAGCACTCCCGGAGCGGGCGGGTTCGTTCCGTCCTGGTTGGCGATGAAGACATCCCTTTCTGTGTGTTCGCAGCTCCGCTTTGCGTGGCCAGGAATGGCTAGAGGGAAAATCTGGCCTGGAGACTTGGATTCTGTTACTTTGGGAGCCAGGCCGGGAGTTAGTGGGCTGGGTGGGTTCTCTCCGTGTGAAAATTCTAACTGTGCAAGTCATACTTTCTGGGTCCACCCGTACATCTGTACGCATTTTATTATAAGCAGCATATTTTGGCTACTGGATTTCCACTATCTCTTCCCCTTCCCGAAGCTGGGAACTTGAAATGCTGCAATTCAAAGCCGGTTGTTGATCCATTTAATTCCATGGGCCTAAAAAAGAAACTAGGCTGCCAACTAATAAAGATGGGGCAGTGAAGCCCAATGAATCTGGTAGTTTCCGCCTCGTCATTTCAATCTTATTAACTTTCTTGGGTTTTGTTTGTTTTATGTTGCTTCTTTATTTTAAATATTGATTTTTAACATAGAAAAGTGCATTAAAAAAAAAAACAGTCTTTTCATTTCATCCCTTGGAACTCTCTCCTTGGGTTCAATATCATCTTTATGGTTTTTGTCTTGTGTAATGTACAAGAAAGTGAATACAAAGCAGTTAAACGAAAAAAACACATCAAAAGCCACAAGGGACAGTTTTTAACTACACATGTTGGACACCAAAGGAGATGAGTAGAAGGAAACCTGAGTTACTGAGCAGTTATGATATGACGGGTACTGGGCCAGACACAGTCCCCACATTATGTCACTGAATACCCAGTTGAGTTAGGTGTTATTCTAACCATGCCACAGATGGAAGCTAACGCAATCGATGGAAGCTTCTACAAAAATAATTTCTGCATGTGCGGTCAGGTGCAAGACCGAGGCTGAGGCATTGGGCTAGGGTCCCCCAGTAGTAAGTGGCTCTAAACCCAGGTGGGTCTGGTTCCCAAACATGTGCATATTTGGGAGTGAAGACAGGATGCAAAGTAGAGGTGATGGCCTCAAAGTCATGGAGAAGTTTCCAGGCAAGATTTAACTTTAGAGAGATTTCTTTTCTCCCTCTAAAGCCAGAGAGATCCCTTGGCCAAATTAACTGATCTTATTGTGCATTTTACAAGCCTCTCCCCTCTGCTTCTGCATACATCCTGGACATCTCCAACGTTCCTATATGACATTTGACACTCTAGACTCAATGAGTGACCCACTGTCATGGTCACATCCTGAACCCTGCCATCACTCAGAAGTGCTCCACTCTTGCAGTCCTGCCTGATACCACACCCTGTGACCACTGCTCCCTAGCCTTTTACCTCTCCCACTCTTGACTCCAACCAAACACATTCTCCAGCTACCAGCAGCCGCCAGCCAGCAATCCCTTTGTCCTTCCCTCATATCTAACCCTTTCCATGTCCTCTTAAATTCTTTCTCTACCCTTTCTGGTTGCTCATTTATTTCAAACACATTCCCGGTAGCATCTACAATTTACACACACTCATATACGTATTCTCCTATACATACTCATATACATGCCCTTAGCCCGACAATCCCCATCTCTGAATCAATCTTGCCATCTTCTTTCTTGCCCAGGCACCTAGGCAAGAGAATGCACTTGGGGAAAACCACATCACCCCAAAGCTTGGGGACATTACCAACTGGTGGCATCTAACTTGACATAGAGCTTCAATTCTGCTCAAAAACACTGTTCCATGTCCCCAGTCAACTCCTCTCCCCAGAAGTGCTTATGAAATCTATGGTGCTCAGGCACACAAAGTTAGTGGTTGTATGTAGAGCTCCATAGAAGAAAGAAAACTCTGGACTAAGGCCAGCATGCTTGTATGAAGGAAGGCTAAACTGATCTGAAGGAACTCAGTGGAATAGGTTCTGCCTGCCTGTGAGTAAATTCTCAGCCCAGAAGGAGCACATCCAGCCACTTAAACTATATACACAAAGATTAAAGGGCCTGTTTACAGAATCATCAATTGCCATGTACCCAGAGGCTCCCAAAGGGGTGGGCAACGTTCCTCAGTCAATGACTGCCATCTGTCTACACCATTTTCCCCAGTCCAGACAGTACAACCAACAAACTCCACCTCAGTGGCTGTGCGGCCTGCTCACCAGGAGATCTGGGTCCTCTCCCACCTCTGTTACCCAGAAGCAAATGAGTTCTTGACTTTAAGAAATTTATCCTGGAGGGCTCCAGAAATCTTTCCCAATCATAGAACTCAGTTAAACTACAAAGATTTTTTAAAAGAAGTTTCTTGGTATGTTTGTTCATTCAGCAAACTGAAAGGAAGGAGACTGATGTATTTCTGTCCCTAGGTCACCAAAGATTTTGATTCCAAATGCGTTTTCACTCACCCACTGTGGCTCATGTGATATGCAGCTCGGACTTAACTCTGTCACCTGCACTTGCCAAGACGTTCTCCCACCTCACCCTGGTCTGTCACAGGAGTTAAAAATACTGGGAAGTTCACCAAGGAAACCAGGCATCGCCCCTCTACAGAGTTTCACCAACCCACTTACTCTCACAAGAAGCACAGAGGCGGAGCGTTCGTTCTCACAAACCCCTGAGCATTGCAACAGATACTGGAGGGTTTTTACAAAACATGAATGTACCTCCCCATTCAAGAATGCACACTGTAGCTGGGGGAAGGCTAAGAGGGAGGATAAGTAAATGGGGAGAGACCAAGCCGCGCTGAGAGCCTGTGCTGTGTGCCAGCAACGCACACACAGCAGCCTCACCACTTAGTAGCTGTGTGACTCCAAGCAACTTACCTGACTTCTCTGGGCATCATCTGTTTCCCCAGCTGTAAAACAGGGATAATATCCATAATACTACCTCAGGAAGTTGCAAAGATAGATAAGCTAGCATGTAAATCACTTAGCACAGTGCTCTGTGGAAATAAAGACCAGCCAGCTGAGGACAAGCAAAGGCTGTTCATTCAGAGTTTGCTATTGCAGAGGAGTCAGCCACCATCACTTGTATTTGGCAGAAACTCAAAGGTAGAGAGGAGAGGGAGAGCTTTATAATGGAAAAAGAGGAAGCTTCAGATACACGCTGATCGCTGATTGGAGGCTGCTGGCCCAGGGAAGCTGGAGGCAGGATAACTAGAAGTGGGGCATCCTAGGTGGTTGGGTAAGGGAGCACATTTGGCTTTCTTTGTTTGGTCCTAAGTTGTAGGCGGGGACAAAGATTAGGGAAGCTGGCAGTTACTGACCAAGTCCTGACCATTTTGAGCCAATTGCTGCATAAACTGTGGTTGGGCTTCCCGGGCTGGCTGCTGCAGGCTGCGGGTCAGAGTTCTATTGTCACAACCTGGCACTGTTTGTATTTTGGCTTCCCCACACTGAATAAATAGTTGTTATTATTGCTGTTGTTAAAATCATTAGAAATGAGAAAGGCTCTGTAGTTGGTGGAATCACGCATCAAAATCAGATCCACCTGTCTGAGAGACGTAGGCCACCCCCAACCCTAGGGCCTGCTCCTCTGACCACGATCTCATCAGCCAGCAACAGTGGCTTCTAAAGTGGGTGCTTAGGACAACCCACTGGGGCGCAGGAAGAAAATGCTAGAACTTCTCCCTACTGTTATCCCAAATTTACTGATGTGTAATATACACAGTGACAGTCACACAGGTACAGAATTTCTAAATAACTGTACATGTAGCAAATATGCGTTTCACATCTTTCCTAATAGGGCCCAACACGAAAAAGCCATAGTTGCCCACTGCCCAACCTGCATGGCAGCCCTAGGGTTGCATTTTCACTGCAATGCTTCCTTTCTACTAGAAGGTGGATTCCTTCTAAACTCAAAGACTCCTTTAAGGCCCAGCTCAGAATCCCGGTCCTCCGTGGAGCGCTATCAGAGAGCCCCGAACATACACAGCTT